ACTCTAACTCTCAAATCTCCAAGAGAAATGAAATTCTGGTGCCTGAGCCTGGGCTGGGTGGGGGGGGGGATTGCAACAAATCCATTTAGGGCTGCTCTGGGTTCTGGTTATTGCACTAGTCAGTGAGGGCATCATTTGGAGCCCCACTCTGATGCCTAGGACTGCTACATCATAGCATGCTATAGCTGAAAGGGTTATTTGTGACTATTGAGTTCAGTGTATTATTTTGAAGAGAGGAAATAGAAGCCCCAGAGAGAGTGTAAGTTGCCAGAAGTCAGAGTGAATTCATGGCAGATCCAGGAACACTGATCCCAAACACCACTTTCCCACCATTGCTAATGGGCTTCTTTTCTGGAGTTGAAGTTTCTGGCATGAAACTGGGTTTTCTTTGGGTCTGCCCAAGTGTCCATAGGAAGTACAGACCCTTGTAAATATTGTCCAGAATGTCTGTGAGTCTTTGTGTCTCAGTAGGACCTTCACCTTGGAAAATCTCTAAGTCACTTGCCCGCAGCAATCTAAAATCAACTGTAGAGTTGCTTCTCTGAACCTGGAGGCTGCTAGGCCTGGCTAATCTAAGCTTTCCTTTTCTAGGGCCCAGAGGACCTGCAGAGATGGCTGGGTGGGGTCAACTCAGTCCAGGAAGCACAGGAATTCTTTTAAGTATATGTGTCTGGGGTATTTTTCTCTCTCACTTACGTGTATTTTTAAAAATTCTTTTTAGACACCCGCTTTATCTTTCCCAAACATCATTTCCTTGCTTCTTTCCTGAGTTCTAGCCGTGGCTGGGGGCCCAGCTTCCTTATTGGCTTCTGAGCTGGGGGTGGGGGAAGTGGGCCAGGCACAGAGGAGGTTGGAGTAGGGAGCAGGGGAGCTGTTTATGCTGCTGGAACTGCCTTCCATCCTTCCTTTTGCCATCAGGGTGCTGGCTGGTTCCTGGAACAACGTCTTCATTCCTTCCAGCTCTTGACACTGGCTTTCATTCCCTAAGGCTGTGGCCACATCTAGGCCCAACCAGGCTGATGACCATACCTTGCCTTCAATGCTACACCTACTTGCTCTTGGAACTGGAACCTGACTGCGCCTAAGCCCCTTGGATCACATTGAGGATCTTGGGCCGATAGCCCCTCACCCCAGGAAGTCTTAACTGAGGACAGATGGGTCCCAGCTAAGGGAAGATACTGGCAGAGGGGTTGTCAATGAGAGTCTGAGCTAGCTGGACACCCTGCTTTCTCCTAAGCATCTCTTCATCCTGGGCAACTTTCATGGTAGGTATAGTCAGTAACCACGGCGGCCATGGCTGCTGCCCCTCCTCCCTCTCCTAATTGCTTTCTGCAATATCCCTTATTTTCTTTACTTCCTAGAAAAGGCATTTTGGAGTAATGAATGATGGGATTTGTGTTCAATGATAGTGCCTGAGCCAGCCTTAGGAGGAAGGGCAAGCGCTGGGGTTGTTGCCTCTACATCTAGGCCTAGAGCTGTGTGGTTGGTAGTTGGCATTTTCTTACCCCTCTGCTTATTTCTCCTCATCCCCTTTCCCCACTGCCTACAGGTTTCCTCTCTAGGACTACTGAGACTTCCTTGTTCTGACTGCTTTTTGAGGGAATTGCTATGAGAAGCCTCAGGTATACAAGCGTTGTAAGACAGACTCTCCTTTGGAAAGGAGGGGTCTTGTAATATCCTAGAAGGAGCTGGAGGATCTGAGTCTTGATTTCAACTCTGCTGGCTACTAGCCGTGTGCTCTTGACAAATCATTTAGGCTTTCTGTTTCTCTGTTTCTCTCCCTGTAAAGTGGGGATAATAATAACTCTTGCTACAAAAAGTTATAGTGACAATTAAACCAGTTAATGCATGCAAAGCTCTTAGTGCCTGGCACATCTTAAGTGTTCAAAAAAATGGTTTTTGTTGTTGTTGTTTTTAAGTTTATAGAATATCTATGTCAGGCACTATGCTGATTGATTTCAAACATGGGACTGCATTTAATCCAGACCAGAATTCATGAGGAGATGGTCCTCTTCCCCATTTTACAAATAAAGAATCTGCAACTCAGAGAAATAACTTGCCCAAGGTCACACAGCTGGAATTTGAATGTAACTGTGGACTGACTCCAAGTCTAGGGCCATTCAGGAATAATAATGGGCCAAATATTTGACTCTATGATAATTTCCTCTCCTTTCCCAAACTAGAGTTAGAAGGCTCTGGCTCCAGTTCCCTCTATTTGGATTTTTCTCCTTCCAGCCTTTGATTTTCTCCCAGTGTCCCCAAAACTTCACTGCCCTTTTCAGTCTCCTTTGGAACTGTTTCCTACTCCTGGGGAAGCCCCACAGAGAGTAAGGGGGTCTTTGTAAGCTATGTTCCAAGTATGGCAAGGAACAGTATAGTAGAACAGTGGATGGACAGTTCCGGGTACCCTTTGTGTGGGTACCATTGAACCATCAAAAAGAGCAAGTTTTGAGCTACCAACCACTATTATAGAACCTACTATTTACTGACCACTTGCTATGCATCAGGCTGTGACCCAGGTGCTTTGAGAATACTGTCTCTAATCCCTGCAATAACCTGGTCAGGTAAGGATTATTGTTCCCTCTCTCAAATAAGAAAACTAAAGCTCAGATGGGTTAAGTATTTGCATATATACACATCTAAAGTTGAAGAGTTAGAATTTAAAGACAGACAGACCTGCCTCACTCATTTTTGACTGATTGCCTTCCAGATGGGAATAGTTGGTAGGATGAGACTAACATACGTGAACTGATGATGAGCAAAATAAAATATCATATTTTTGTAGGCTACATTGTGAGGGCTAGATTACTCAGAACAAGCTCCCTGGAAGAGATGGACTTGAGCAATACCTTGAAGAACAAGTAGGATGTAGCTTAATAAAAGGGGACGGGGAGTTCCAAGCACTTGATATGCATTGTCTCATTTGACCTTTTAACAAACCCATTAGGTAGGTACTATGATCCCCATTTTATAACCATGAAAACAAGTGCTCTGAGAAGTGAAGTCACCTGTTGTAGAGTTTTGGATTCAAACCAAAGTGATCCAACTCTAAAGCTTGTGCTAGAGTCTACTGAAAAATCAGCAGCAAAGACACAGAATCAGAAAGGGGCAGAGCCAGTTGTAGGGTATGGTTGGGGCAGAGACTTGGGAGATTGAGCTGGGTGAGTAAAGATAGCTGATAGAAGACTTTTCAAGTCTAATCCAATTTACATTTGATGTGGGAAAGGGTAAAAAATAGGGAGCCAGTGAAGATTCTTGAGCCGGAGTGTGTATTAATTCAGTTGGCATTTAACATGCTATGATCTAAAAGCAATGACTGGAAGTAGAACAAGAGGAGACTGGCTGGCAGACTGCTGTAGTATTTTGGACATAAAATGTCAAGAGCCTCGACTAGAACAGGAGGTGATGATGGTGGGTCTTGAGAGGAGTGCTACAGTTCTGTGTAATGGTCACAGCACAGTAAGAATGGAGAAAAAGCAAACCAGGGACAGAAGAAACATAAAAGAAAACAGTAGAACTCGGTGTGGGATTGGACGACTGAGGAGAAGGTGGTATCAAGGCTGACCATCCACATTTTAGATCAGGGACTCCCCACATTTTAAGCTTCAATAATCCTGAATGTGGAAGAAGGGACACAAATATGAAAGGTTCCCTGTTCCCCACTCTGCCCTCAGTGCCTAGAAGCATAGTACATGATAGATACATATGGTTCATAGTACCTAGTAGTACATAGTACTGCTAGTGATAGATGCTTGAGAAATAGTTGTTGACTGGGCAACTACTTGGTAACAGCAGCTAGAGAGATTTCCCAGCAGCATGACTTTGCACGTGAGACTCCAGAGCAAACATAGCCCCCAAAGTCTTCTTTGCCTTCAGCCTCCCCTCTGGGCACTCTGAATCTGTAAGAGCTTAGCCAATATCACTGACCTACGTAGCTTTTCTGTCTCCCATCTCTCCCTCTTATCTTTATAATCTGACCCTTCCATCATCTCTCTCTCATTCTTCCTCCCTCTTGTTCTTTCTCTCGTGTTGCCTCCCATAAATCATCTCTTTATCTCCTGGCATTACCCATGTCCCACATGTGCTCTTCCCCATACCGTTCTTCCTGACTTGCAAGGGTGGCATCCAATCATGTGAAGTATGCCAGGGGGCACGAATGGGTCCTGTATAAATCCGTGAGTTCAAGAGTTGTGGCTACATTCAAGGTCTTGGCCTCAGACCTATTTCTCTTTATTCACCCCTGACTGCTGAGCAGCCAGTCTCTTCTGTCAGTCGAGCATTGGTGCCATTCGCCACTTTGTTCTATCTTCCTTCTCAGCATTTGAGGCTTCCTGCCACCACTTTACCTACAAAGTCAGATGTCTCACCTCTGTGTTCATCTTATCCTTCACTTTCTCAATGCCTTTACCATGCTTTATTTGGGTCAGCTCTGTCTTTTTCACTGATCTGTAAATTCTCAAAGGCAAAGAATTTGTTGGATTCATCTCTGTATGCCTTAGAGCTATATGTTGGAGGCACATAGTAAACATACAACAAATGCCTATTGAATGTATGAGTAAAAATTGGAGCATTGACAGCCCAGTATTGACTTGTTTAAACTTCTAAATCACGTACCTATTCCTTTCTCAGAGAAAAATGAGAAGATTGGCCAAGACTGATTTTTTTTCCTCAAAGAGAAGTCAGGGTAGGCTCACTAATCCTTGAGCAGCAACATTCATTTATTCTACAAATGTTTACTGAGCATCTACTTTGTCTCCAGCACTGTGATACATGCTTAGGACACTTGTGAATGAAACAGCCCTGTAAAGCTGGCATTCTAGATCTCTAGGATGAAGATTAGAGTACTGGGAGCTGAAGAGAGCCACTAAGATTTCCACACCAGCTCCTTGCAAGATGTTCTGCTTCACTGAAGGGAAAGAGGGCGTGGAGGTGGAAGTTGCCTGGGGAGTGGTTTTAGCTCTGGTTCCTTAAGCTGATTTCCTGTCCCTTTCTGGCTGTAGGAGAAACGCCCCTGTCAATAGGCCGCACTCATGGCATGTGGCCAAGCTGCTGGAGGGATGCCCTGAAGCAGCCACCACCATGCATTTCCCTTCTGAAGCCTTCAGCTTGTCCTGGCATTCTGGCTGCAACACAAGGTGAGTCTGGAGCCCTCCCCTCAAGATAGTCTGGAGGGTAGACAATTTGGACATTCCTCCTCCTCTGCTCTAGTCCCTGTTGTATATTCAAGTCTAGAGTGGTATAATGGAAAAGGAAGCGGGAGTCCAGAGTACCTGGGTTCAAGTCCTAGTCTCTTGCTAACTGTGACTTTGGGCCAATCCTTTTCCTTCTGGCCAATGTTTCCTGGAAATACCCCACTTGGCCTGCAAGACACTACACTGTCCTGCTTTGCATTCTATTTCACTAACTGTTCTTTCTCAGTTTCTTTTTCTAATTATCCTCATTACCCTGTCTCTTAATGTAGGAAGACCCCAGGGCTCAGTCCTGGTTCTCTATCCAGTGACACACTGGTACTTCATCCAGTGTTCATCACCTCTGTCACAGAGCCAAAACCTTAAAAAGAGGACCTCCCTGAATAACAGGCTCTATCTGCAATGAGAATCACTCAATTAGGGAACCTTGGTGTTGCCTGTTGTTGAAACAGCTGTTCAAGAGGAAGACGGTGTTTTCTACAAGCTCAAAAACCAGCAAAGGAGCTGCCCTCAGCTGCCTTTTCCCTTCTACAACAAGAACTTACCTCCAAGAAGGGATTTCTGTGGAGGAGGTTCAGAGAAGCTAAGGGTTGAGATTGTCCCAACTTAGTGACTTTATTTGGCATTAGAAGCCAGGGACACAGAAATACATTCTGAGTTTGCCTCCTGTTTGAGTGTGTGTGTGTGTGTGTGTGTGTGTGTGTGTGTGTGTATTTCAGCAGGAAGGGTGGCAGGGTGGGCAGCAGGTTCCTTTGCCAACAAGGTTCCTTTGATAGATTCCTAGCCCAAGAACAAGAGAGCCAAGCGACTAAGAGGCAAGGCAGGGAGCAAGAATTAAGGGAAGCTGACCTGAAGGTCTCATGGGCTGCTGCCACAGCTCATCTTTGGCTTTCTGGACTATGGCCTTTCTGAATGCAGCTTGCAACCTTTGAGGTTCTAGTCAAAGGGAGTTACTGGCATGATTTGGCTCAGTTTGGCCTTGTGTGTGGGAAATGGTACTTAAAATTCAAGATTGTGTCTGATCCTAGCCCTTCCCTTGATTTCCCTGCTTTGGCTTTGCCGTGGGGGATGAGGGAGGTGTGGGTGGACAGGATCTACTACGGTATCAATACTAGGAGTAGAGAGGATGCTGGTAACAATAAGCAAGATCGAAGCAACTGCTGTGTATTGAACCCTTGCTAAGTGCCTGGGCTGTGATAAGAGCTTTAGATATATTATCTAAAGCCCTTTGAGATATATATTACTATTATTCCCATTTAAAAATGGTATAGTAGAAGAGCTAAGACATTGGACTCACAGAGGTCTGGGTTCAACTTCCAGCTATGTTTTTTTAAAGCAGCTTGGTGAGGCTTACCAGTTTACCTCTCTAAGCCTCAGTTTCCTGAGTCGTAACGTGGAGATAATAATCTGTCCCCTTCAGCTTGAAATGAAACCTTGTAGGCCCATTATTGATCCTTAGTAAATAGTCAGGATTGCTTTTATCAAAAAAGAATAAGGGAACATCTAAACTCCAGCCTTGCCTATGCCAACAGATAGAGCTGGGTGAGCTTGAGTGAGTCACTGCCTCAAACTCTCTTCCCTTTGCAGGACTGGCTTTATATCAATAGTTCTCGAAAAGGTGGTATGTGGGCCAGCAAGGCCAGCAGTACCTGGGAAGTAGTTAGAAGTACAAATTCTCAGGATTCACCCAGACTTAAAACTCAAGGATGAAGCCCAGTGACATGTGTTTTAACGTGCTCTCCATATGATTCTGACACATACTCAAGTTTGACAGTCACTGATTTACAAAGTGGTCTGGCTGGAATTGAATCAGCCCTTTAGGGCCCCTCTCTGATGCTAATATTCTGTGATTGTCTCTGCTGGCAGAGAGCCACAGGCTGACTCCCTGGGGATAGGGCCAGCTCAGACTAGCAATTCAGATTTGCAGATGGCAGGGAAATAGAGGATAACCCCCATGGAGTTCTCTTACTTTTGGTATTTGGGGTGCTCCCTCATCCTTCTTTCACATGTCATCTTGTCTCCCATTTTACCATTTCCCTGTAGGGCCCCAGTGTCCATCTCCTTCCCTGTTTCCCCTTCTTCCCTTTTTGTCTTATCTCCTTCTCATTTGTGGCATGGGTGCCTCTGGGTTGTCCTGCCTTATCCCATAGCAGGGCTGGTCAAGGTGGGAAAGGGATCTCGTGACTTAGCTAACTAAGCAATATGTACCCTATGTCTTGCAGTGACGTGTGTGTGCAGTGGTGTCCACTCTCCCGGTACTGCAGCACTGAGAAAAGCAGCTCAATTGGCAGCATGGAGAGCCTGGAGCAACCAGGCCAAGCCTCATATGAGGGCCACCTTTTGCCCAGTGACCAGAACATGTATCCTAACCAGCGTGACTCAGCCTACAGTTCCTTTTCGGCCAGCTCCAATGCCTCTGACTGTGCTCTTTCCCTCAGGCCAGAGGAGCCAGCCTCTGCAGACTGCATCATGCAAGGCCCAGGGCCAACTAAGGCCCTCAATGGCCAGTCCAGTGTATCTGACACCACAGGAGGTAGCCGGCGCACCAGTGGGGGCCATCTGACTCCCAGCTCACAGATGTCATCCCGCCCACAAGAGGGATACTACTCAGGGCCTGCCAAGGTGGTCAGGGGCCCACCACAACCTCCTGTGAGGCGGGACAGCCTTCAGGCCTCCAGAGCCCAGCTCCTCAATGGAGAACAGAGCAGGGCCTCTGAGCCTGTGGACCCCTTGCAACAGGAGAAACCGAATTTAGAGACAGTGGCACTCCCAAGGAACCCTAACAGGTTATGTTGCCTCAGTGGACAAGACCAAGTGACAAGTGAGGGCCATCAGAACTGTAAGCTCAGCCAGACTCCTGAATCCAGCCAGCAGGGCTCTGAGCATGCACTGATGCAGGCCTCAACCAAAGTTGTTGGATCCCCCAAAGCCTGTGACAAAGCTTCCAGCATAGAATCCAGCCCACTCAATGATGCGTCAACAGAACTAGCTAAAGTTGCTTCTTTTGGCAGTCCTCCACAACTCATAGGACCCACAGGGCATCGCCATAGTGCACCTGAACAGCTGCTGGCATCTCACCTGCAACATGTACACCTTGATGCCAGGGGCAGCAAGGGGATAGAGCTCCCAGCTGGGCAGGATGGGTACCAGTGGACTCTGTCCCCTTTGCACAGCAGCCACAAAGGGAAGAAAAGTCCATGTCTCCCTACAGGAGGAACCCAGGACCAACCAAGCAGAGAAAGACAGACCAGACCAGTGGATGATAGGCCTTTGGGCTCAGGACACCGGAGCCAAAGTAGTTCCCCACATGGAGAGGTTGATGGACACCCTCCAGAAAGAGTTTTACTGTACCCAAAAAGAGCAGGCAGAGTAGGCAGTGAATTGGCCAGCCAGCAGGCCTCTGTCTCAGGCTCCCTTATTCAACAAGCCAGGGACTGTCCTTCAACCACTAAAGTAACTGGCGGCATAGAGGCACCTGAAGAAGGGGACAATGAGCCCAAGGAGTGTAACCAGCTGCGTGGCAGGCGGAATGGAGGTACTCGTGGCCGCTCAATCCAAAACCGGCGGAAGAGTGAGCGTTTTGCTACCAATCTGCGTAATGAAATTCAGAGGAGGAAGGCCCAGCTCCAGAAAAGCAAGAGTACCTTGTCACAAGTGTGTGACACTAAAGGGCCAGTGGAAGAGACTCAGGCACCCCCAGAAAATCCTCCACTCCCTGCCTCTAACTCATCTCTATTATCCTCATATAAAAAACCACCTAGCCCCAGAGACAAACTCTTTAACAAAAGCATGATACTCAGGGCTAGGTCTTCAGAGTGTCTCAGCCAAACCCCCAAGAGCCATAACTCCAGGACAGGCTTGGAGGGACAAATAAGTCCTGGTCAGAGTCCTGGCCCATCCTCTTTGGACCTGAACACCTGGTGGAAAGCATCTGACCCACCCTCCTCAGACCCTGAGAAATCAAAGGCTCACCATGGAGTTCGTGGAGGTCATTGGAGATGGTATCCAGAGCATAATCCACAGCCGCATGTGGCAGTAACCATGGAAGGTCCTTCTAACCCAAGTGACAACAAAGAATTGAAAGCTTCTACTGCCCAAGCTGGGGAGGAAGCCATCCTCCTGCCCTTTGCAGACAGAAGAAAGTTCTTTGAAGAGAGTAGCAAATCTCTATCTACATCTCATTTGCCAGGTTTAGCCACTCATAGTAACAAGACTTTTACCCAGAGACCAAAACCTATGGAGCAAAACTTCCAGCCAATGAGCTCCAGCCATAGGGAATTGAGGCGCCATCCCATGGACCAATCATATCATTCCACAGAACAACCCTATCATGCCAAAGACCAACGCTACCATTCCATGTCACCCCTTCAGTCAGAAACTCCCACTTACTCAGAATGTTTTGCAAGCAAAGGTCTAGAAAATTCCATGTGTTGTAAGCCACTGCACTGTGGTGATTTTGATTACCACAGGACCTGCTCTTACTCCTGCAGTGTTCAGGGAGCTGTAGTCCATGACCCTTGCATTTATTGTTCTGGGGAAATATGCCCTGCCTTGCTAAAAAGAAACATGATGCCAAACTGCTACAACTGCCGGTGCCACCACCACCAGTGCATCCGGTGTTCAACTTGCTATCATAATCCTCAGCACAGTGCCCTCGAAGACAGCAGCTTGGCACCTGGCAAAACTTGGAAACCCAGGAAGCCAACAGTGCAGGTGAGGACTGGTTCTTGGGTGGGTGAACTTCATTATTTCCTTTGTGAGGAGAAAGCTGGGTAAATAATTTGAAAATATAACAATTATAATTCCTGGAAACTATGCAGCCCTGGCTCTACCAGAAGGTAGCCTAGATCTTGAGCAAGACACTCAGCCACCAAAGTTGCAGTTGCATAATCTTTAGAGTTAACTACAAGTAACTTTTGCTTCATGAAATGGACACAACTGAGAATTATGTTCTGACTGTAAAATTGAGTATCTGAGTGACCTAAAGTAAGTCATCCAGCCACCAAAACTTGAAGTTATATGGGAAAAAATAATTTTTGTGTCATAAAATATCTAGTATTATGAAAGGTCTTATTGCCTCATCTCTAAAATGGAGGAGAATCATGACTACCTCGTGGGTCAGTTGTGAGAATCAAATGAGATTATGTACATAGAGTGCCAGGTCCAGTGCATGAAAAAAAATAGCACCTATTGCTTTCCATTTCCTGCTTCTAAAATTATTTGGAGCAGCAAAACTTGCAAATGTCCCCAGGCTTTGCTTTCATATATCTGACTTGTCTGTTTTTTAAAGGACAAATCCTTTCCCGTTTCCCTAGCCTGTCTCTGTTGGAGACCTAACTGGCTACTGCCACACCATGATTATGACCTACCATCATAATGCAAGCCACCATTATCCTTCAGGGAACTTCTGGGAGGACCCCCCATGTCCTTATCCGCTCACTGCCAGATGGCTGGTGCACTGAAGTCAGAAGTAAATTCCTCTGTTGAAATATTGCATAGGCAGACACTTTTTATTCTTTTATTTTTTTATTTTTTTATTTCTTTTTATTTGTTTGAGTTGGAGTCTCACTCGATCGCCCAGACTGGAGTGCAGTGGCCGCTCCCGGCCACTGCATCCTCAACCTGCTGGGCTCTGGCGATCCTTCCGCCTCAGCCTTCCCAGTAGCCGGAATTACAGGCATGCGCTTCCACGCCCGGCTGATTTTTTGATTTATTGTAGAGATGAGGTCTCGCTGCCCAGGCGGGTCTCGAACCCGCGGGCTCAGGCAATCCACTCACCTCAGCCTCCCAAAGGCGCGGGATTACAGGCTGAGCCACCGAGCCTGGCGGCAGACACTTTTTAAAAAATATTTTAAAGATGTGGGGTACAATTCAGAATTAGGTAGATAAGTGGTCATTGTACAGATAAAGTGTAGGCCTCCCTTTGGTCCCCACTTTGCCTGGTTTGAGATCAGGTACCCTTATTGATGTTGTGCACCCCCTCCGCCACCCTGGCAGTATCCTGCTACTGCCAATCCTTTCTTGTACTTTTGTGACAAATGTGATAAATCACTGAGTATGATAGACTCTAAATCCATCCAAGTTGCTGCGAAGTACATAATTTTGTCCTTCTTTATGACTGTGTAATATTCCATTGTGTATATGAACCGCTTTTTTAAATCCAGTCCACTTTCGATGGGCAGCACGGTTGGTACTATGTTTTTGTTATTTATTTATTTGTTTGTCTATTATTTTTATTTTAAAGATGTGGGGTACAATTCAGGGTTAGGTATACAAATTGTCATCATACAGGTAAAGTGTGGGCCTCCCTTTGGTCCCCACTTTGCCTGGTTTGAGATCAGGTACCCTTATTAATGTTATGTGCCTCCCTCCCTCCCCTGGCAGCATCCCACTACTGCCAATTCCATTCTTATAGTATTAAGATAATTGTTCAGAGTCTGCTTATGAGTGAGAACATGTAGTACTCAGTTCTTTGTCTTTGTGATAGATCACTTAATATTATAGACTCTAAGTTCATCCAAGTTGCTGCAAAGTTCTTGATTATATCCTTCTTTATAGCTGCATAATATTCTATCATGTATGTGTACTACATTTTTAAAATACAGTTCATTTTCAATGGGCAACACGGTTGGTTCCATGTTTTTGCTATTGTGAATAATGCTGCAATAAACATGTGTGTGCAAGTAGCTTTTTCATAGAGTGATTTGAGTTCCTTCGAGCATATTCCCAGAAGGGGGATTGCTGGGTTGTGTGGAAGGTCAATTTTTAGATCTTTTAGGAATCGCCAGGCTGTTTTCCACAGAGGTTGTACTAGTTTACACTCCCACCAACAGTGTAGAAGTGTTCCCATTTCCCCGCATCCTCTCCAGCATCTGTTGTTTTTGAGTTTTTGATGATGGCCATCTTGACTGGAGTTAGGTGGTATCTCAGTGTAGTTTTGATTTTCATTTCTCTGATGATTAGTGAGGCTGAGCATTTTTTCGTGTATCTCTTGGCTGCTCATATGTCTTCTTTTGAGAAGTGTCTATTCATATCTTCTGCCCACTTTTTAATGGCGCTGTTTATTTTTTCTCTTTGGGCCTTTGTCAGATACACAGTTCAGAAATAGTTTTTCCCATTCTGTGGGCTGTCTCCTGACTCTCTTGATGGTTTATTTTGCTTTGCAGAAGCTTTTCAATTTAATGAGGTCCCACTTGTCTATCTTATCTCTTATGGCATGGGCATTTGGAGTTTTGATCAGGAATTGGTATTGATACGGAAGTATTCCAATTTCTGTAAGGGTGTCTCCTGGGTTTTTTAAGGCGCTTATAGTTTGAGGTTTATGTTGAGGTCTTTGATCCATTTAGAGTTAATTTTTCTGTATGGTGACAGGTAGTGGTCCTGTTTCAATCTTCTGCTTGTGGTTAGCCAGTTTTCCCAGCACCATTTACTGAACAGGTTCTCCTCTCCCCAGTGGTTTTTGGTGGAGACTTTGTTGAAGATGAGTCGGTTGTGAAATTGAGGTTTTGTTTCTGGAATCTCTGTCCTGTTCCATTGGTCTATATGCCTGTTCTTGTGCCAATACCAGGCTGTTTTGATTATTGTAGCCTTATAGTAAATTTTAAAGTCTGAAAGTGTGGTAACTCTCACTTTCTTTCTTTTGCTAAGGATTTGGCTATTTGTGGTATTTTATGTTTCCATATGAACTTCTGCATTGTGATTTCCAAGTCTGAAAAAGATAATGTTGGTACTTTAATGGGTATTGCACTGAATCTGTAGATTGCCTTGGGTAGGATGAACATCTTAACAATGTTGATTCTTCTAATCCATGAACATGGAATATTCTTCCAGTTGTTTGTGTCTTTGATTTATTTGAACAGTGTTTTGTGGTTTTCACTGTAAAGGTCTTTCACCTCTCTGGTTAGGAAGATGCCAAGACATTTCATTTTCTTTGTGGCTATTGTTAATGGGATTGTGCTTTTTATTTAGTTCTCTGTTTGTTATTGGTGTATAAGAATGCAACTGTCTTTTTCACATTCGTTTTGTACCCTGAGACTTTGCCAAAGTCCTTTATCGGTGAAGGTAGGTTTTTGACAGATTCTCTTGGGTTTTCAAAGCATAGGATCATATCATCCACAAAGAGGTATAACTTAACTTCCTCTTTTCCTATTTGGATACCCTGATTTCCTTCTCTTGTCTTATTGCTCTAGCTAGAACTTCCAACAGTATGTTGAACAGGAGGGGTGAGAGTGGACAGTCTTGTCTTTTTCCAGTTTTCAGGGGGAATGTTTCCAATTTCTGTCTGTTTAGCATTGTGTTGGTTATGGGTTTATTGTAGATGGCTCTTACTATTTTAAGGTATGTTCTCTTTATGCCTACATGCTCAAGGGTTTTTATCAAGAAGGGATATACTGAATTTTATCAAAAACTTTTTCTGCATCTAATGATATGATCATGTGGCTCTTGTTTTTACATCTGTTGATGTATTTAATCACATGTATGGTCTTGTGGATATTGAACCAGGCCCGCATCCCAAGGATGAAGCCTACTTGGTCATAGTGGATTATTTTTGAGATGTGTAGTTGGATGCAATTTGCTAGAATCTTGTATGAGAATCTATGTTCATCAGGGATATTGGCCCATAGTTCTCTTTCTTTGTTGGATCTTTACCGGGTTTGTGTATCAATGTGATGTTAACTTCGTAAAATGATTTGGGGAGAGTTCCATCTTTCTTGATTGCCTGCAATACTTTCAATAGGATTGGTATCAGCCCCTCCTTGTGTGTTTTGTAGAATTCCACTGGAAAGTCGAGACAGACGTTTTTTAAATGACTTAGGGTATGAATCTGCTCAATATATATTCTTGGAATAAAGGAAATTTAGGAGACCAAGAAGCCTTATACAAAAGAGTACATACTCTATAATTTCTCTTTGTATGAAATTTTAAAACAGATATTCCATGGGAAAAAATCAGAACACGGTTTGCCAATGGGAGCTAGCACAGAGAATGACAGAAAGCGGGCATGGGGGCATGAGGGAATTTTGTGGGGTGATGACAATGTTCTATATATCTCGATAAGGGGTTGAGTTACACACATGTATTTGTCAGAACTCAGCAAATGGATAGCAAGGCTCCTAGACAGTCAGTGCACTTAATATTTGTGCATTTCACTGGAAGTAAATTTTGCTTAAAAGATTGTAAGTTGCCACAGCCATTGCCAAAACATCACTACCATTGCCTTGCTAAGCTATGGTGTGGCCATGTGCTCTTTGAGCTATGGCCAGGCCATGTTTTCTTAAGCTTCGGTCCCTTTCCCTACCTTGGGGAGGTGAATTACCTCTTTCTCTCTCTCTCTAATTTACTTTCTAAATAAACTATATTTTCTAATCTAAAAAAAGATTGTAAACAAATATCAAACTTTATATGAGATGCTGAAGTGTTTTTGAATTATACTGCTCTACACAATTTATATTTTCAGCATACAAGTCTTAAATGTATTTTGTTATATTCATTTCTAAGATCTCATGATATTTGGTGCTATTGTAAATAGTATTGTTTTCTTAATGTCAAGTTAAAATTATTTGTTACTATTATATAGAAATTGAACTTGTTATGTTGACCTTGTGTCCTGCAACCTTGTCAAACTTACTTATTAGTTCTAGTCGCTTTTGTGTAGATTATAAAAGCTTTGCTACATAGGTAGTCATGCTATCTTCAGATAGAAAGAATTGTGTATCTTCCTTTTCACTGTATATGTCCTTAATGGGGAGAGAGGGGAGACTTATTGCACTATCTAACCTCCAATACAATAGTCAGAAGAAGTGGTGAGCGTAGACATTGTTGCCTTGTCCTTTCTCTGTCACTATTAAGTTTAATGTTAGCTGTATGGTTTTTTTTGTTTTTTTGTAGATGCCCTTTAGTTGAGGAAATTCTCTTTTATTCATATTTTGCTGAAAGTTTTAATTAGTAGTGAATGTTGAGTTTTTTTTCAAATGCTTTTTTCTGTATCTATTGAGATAATCATTTAAAAAAATCTTTTAGTCTATTGATATGGTGAATTACATTGATTGATTTTTGAAATAAATACCAGCCTAATATTGCCAAGATAAATCCCACTTGGTCATGATGTATTATCCTTTTTATGTGTCACTATATTTGATTTGCTAGTATTTTGTTAAGGATTTTGCATCTGTGTTTATCAGGGATTTTAGTCTGTAGTTTTCTTGTAATATTTTTGTCTGATTTTCATATCAAGATAATGCTAGCATTAAAGAATGGGTTGGGAAATTGTCCCATCCCTTCCCTTCTATTGTCAGGAAGATTTTGTATGAAAATGGTACTATTTCTGCTTTAAATGTTTGGTAGAATTCATCCCTTAAGCCATCTGGGCCTGGATTTTGTGTGTGTGTGCAGGAAGGATTTTAACTAAAACTTCAACTTCTTTGCTAGATAGATATAGAGTAATTTAGGTTATCTAGTTCTTCATTGTAAGCTTTGCTAGTTTGTGTCTTTCAAGGAATTTGCCTATTTCGTTTAAGTTTTTTAATTTTTGAGGATAAAGTTGTTTGTAACTTACTTTGAAATGCATCAAGAATTTAAGATGGATTGGTGGATAAATAGAGTGGTTAATAGATACATGATGTGAGTGAATTGCCTGAGCCCGAGGGTTCGAGACCCACCTGGGCAACTTGGTGAGACCTCATCTCTACAATTAAAAAAAAAAAAAAAATTAGCCGGGCATGGTAGCACGCGCCTGTAATTCCAGCTACTTGGAAGGCTGAGGCAGAAGGATCGCCAGAGCCCAGCAGGTCGAGGCTGCGGTGGCCGGGAGCGGCCACTACACTCCAGTCTGGGCGACAGAGTGAGACTCCAACTAAAAAAAAAAAAATAGATACATGATAAGGCAAATATAGCAAAATTTTAATTGTAGACTCTAGATGGTAGGTATATGAGTGATCACTGTGAAATTCTTTCAACTTTTCTGTATGTTTGAAAATATTCATAATGTTGAAAAAAGAGAAGAATAAATATAAATATAAAATAATGGTTTAAGGCCATCAAAGCTGGAACCAGACTGTCTAGGTTTTAATTCCTTCCCCAGAACTTATAGTGCCTAAACTTTCCCATCTAAAAAAATGGAGGCAATAGCACCTACTTCATAAGTTTGGTTGTGAGAATTAAATGATGTAAAGTGTAAGGCACTTAGAATAGTAATTGCCAAATAGTAATCATAAGTGAGTTATTATCTCTCAAAGTAAAGGGAGATTTTGGCTTAGCTTGAGATATTTTTGAGAAAGAAGGGCCCACATGTAGACAATAGAGAAAGGGAGCTGAGGTTCAGAGGAAAATCAGAAGACGGTGCCTGCAGAGGTGTCATCCCAGGACCAGCAACTCTGTAAGGAAAGGAGGTACAAGTTTATATTTTATTTTTATTTCTTTATTATTTACTCTTTCTTTCTTTCTTTTTTTTTTTTTTTTTTTTTGGGGTTTGGGT